TATATCGGCTGGCCGATATTATCTGCCAATATGGGCACCTGGAGACATATCGGCTATCAGATTTGTCTGTGTCTGTGTCCGTACTGTCCCTGAACACACCACCAGAGTGACGTCACTTCACTCGCGTGTGTTTGTTTACACCCGCAGCGGTGCGCAACACTGAGATTATATGCTTTTTCAGACAATCGGTTTGAGTCTAGATTAAAAGGACATTTATTAGTGCAGACTTGTGATGTGAGGAGGAGACTGTGTGAGCGGTGAGTGTTGGAAATACATCGACTTTGAAGCTAGTTTAGGTTTTGTTAGCTGTTAGCTGCTGTAGTTCTCACACATAAACAGACTGTTTTCTATTGGTCTATTGTAAAGTGACTACATTGGCCGTATATTTGTTACTGGACCGGCATTGATATGTAAATGAGCTGTGAATAGACGTGTGAATGATCTACATTTATGCATATAATTAATAACCGCGGTGCACACGTTTTTACGGCTAAAGACTAATAGCGCTAGTTTACTAGCTAGGAGTTATGGGTCGGTCCCGATCGAAGCGGCTCTTAGTGCCGACTCTTTGAAGCGAACAACAGGAGCCTGCTTCTTATTGGGAGCCGTGTTTTCTCTTTTTCTCACTTTTTCTCTTCATGCCGCATGTAGACCCATAGTTTGACAGCAGCAGCGGCTGAAAACGAAACTTTCAGAAATCTGCGTGTGCATAGGATAAAAAAAAGTGCATATTTGGCTGCAGTTCAGGGTCATACAATTTTGTTATACAGCCGACCCGACCCCAACCCACATCACAGTCAGGAGCGATAATGTGGTGCCCAGACAAAAAAAGTTTGGTGACCCCTGATCTACATCATGAACAGATTTTTAATTACCTGGTCCCCGAAGGGTTGACCAGGTTTTGTATTCACCCTGTGTGTCTGTTTGTCTGTCCACCCACAATAATTCCACCGTTTATGGACCGATTGTCACCAAATTTGGTACATGGGTCAAGCCCCCGTGTCCGATGCTGCAAAAAAAAGTTTGGTGATGATCCGAGGTCATTTGAGGACACACGGGTCAATTGAAAAGTCATGCCATTATAAAGGATCGGCAATTTCTGAACTATTTGTGGGCTAAAATATTCACCCAATCATCACACAAGTTGGCACACACATAACCGGGGCACACTGGATGTTACAGGTTGAAACCGGTCAAGGTCACATGAAGGTCAAGGTAACCAAGGTCAAATATGCGTTTTTGGTCATAACTCCGCGAAGGATCGAGCTCGAGCAACGGGAGTGTCTCAAAATCTCAGAAAAATTATTATCTATTTATAATTCTGCGGATTGGTAGAATATTAATAGTTTTGGAGATAATCACTAATTATAACAGTTCCTTTCTCTTTCAGTGTATGGCGTTAAAATTCTAATTGGAACAAAAATAATTTCCATGTCTTCTTTTTCTGGTGATACACAACACACTGATCTACAGTCACACAACTAACATACACACAACTCATGAAAAATGACATTTTCATTACACACTAGTAAACACACATTCTCGTGTGTGACCCATATCACACAAATGTTCATGGGTCTGTGCAGATACACACATTGCATTGTGGATATAAAGATCATGTAATATGGGCTGGGCTCCTCATAAACTGTTTCTGTGGTGATGAACTGAACCACCGATGGGGACCAGGTTGCTGTCTCTGATCGCGCTTGTTTTAATTCTAGAATCAGTCTGAATGAACAAGTTACTTATGTTTTATTCATTACCATTCGTAGTAAGTAGTTCACTAACGCTTGTCGACTTTTTTGGTTAAAGATTTGGTGATGGGGCAGATTTATGAAGCTGGTGGAGAATACTTGAGACATTTGCACAGACATTTAGCCGTAGAAAACCATTAACAGGAAGTTCCATAAACCTAAAAGGCAGGATTTCCAACCATTGTGAATAAGGTCTTCTCACCCAGACTCACATCTTTGTAGTGAAGTATAGGCCAGTTTCATTATTGACAAAAGCGTGCGTTGCATACTGGGAATTATTTTGGTCAGCGGCAATAAACACTAATTCAACATGACGGACGGAGCGAGAAAGCACGTAAAGGGTATTGATCCCGGTTATTTATCCACTCTAACGGCAGAGGACCAAAGATGATTTGACCAGAAATTGGTCATAAGCATCGACGCCAAATCACCCTTTTCAACCCCTACAAAGCCTGGACCAAACCAAATTTCTGGTCAGAATCGCCAACTACCTGGCCAAATATTCACTTCGGCGATATCCACAATGACTTGGTGGAAACTCCTGGGCCATTCACAGCAGAAAAGATGAAAACCTCCAAGAGTCTCGATGCGTTGTTTAACTTGTTGGAGTCCACGGTTTGCTAGGCTCTTCTACGTTTGCTCTGCGGATGTTTGAAAGCCATTTAATTCACCGTTAGCTGTTCTTTTCACTCGGAATACGAAAAAGACATTTTTCTTCTTCCGTGCTTCTATTTGTGCATCCGATAATGCAGCAGGAATTTACCATTATCGGGGATAAATACGCGAGGTTACGCACCGTGTTTGACCGCTATCGTGTTTCTTGCCTCCGACCAAAATATTTCCCAGCATGCAACGCGGGCTTTTAATAACAATGACGTCAGCTGAAACTCTCCTGTTGAAGAAGTGTCTATTCTGACCCCATGCATTGGTATTGCAACTTTTACAGACACCGATATTGATATTCGACCAGCCCTATGAAAACACAAGTGACTCCAAAGTGGAACCAGAGCTGCTGACACGTCAACATCTATACTCACTCTTACTCAAGTTTGTGTTTTCATGCATAGGCGGGTTATTAGTGTAGTTTTCTTAGTTTGAAAAAGTCTTCCCAACTTGAGTTTTTCCTTTGTGAGTTTTATACCATTGTTTCCCTGACTTTCTTCTCCATTTCTCTTTCATCTGGCGGTGTGCACAGAAATGTAATGTGTCTGACTGACAAAGAGACGCTGACAAAAGCTATAGCGCTGCAGAAACACGGAACAACTTTAGTTCAATGCATCTTAAGGAAAGATTTCAGAGCGGGGAGTGGGAGGGACAGGTGCGCCGAGAGAAACTACCACGGCAACAAATGTCTTTCTTGTAGCTGTCACACTCTTTTGTCAACACAGCTTGGTTTCATTTTTCTTACCACAAAATGTAAAAAAAAAAAAAAAAAAAGCAGGAATAGCCCATTTTGATATGTCATGGTAGGTATCAAATACAAGTGTGTGCTTTTCTGCTTCAAAAATCAATTGAGTCATGAAATTCTTATCGCGCAAATGTGAAAATGTGTCCTCTACATTCTTTTTGTCATTTGGGGAGGTTGATCTTGAGCCTGTACTCTATGAGATGATTTATTTTTGCCATGTTTTGGTTTGATGAGAGAAGCTAGACTATTAAGAATAACCAAAGACCTTACGATGGCGATTAAAGGGTTTATATTACGCCATTTTCTGATCTATGTTAAAATGTTGTTTCTATCAAAAACATATCTGGAGTTGTGTTTTGTTTCATTCACACATGACATCACACATTCCCTGCATATTTAGACTCAGTTCTCCATTTATCTTCATTGGAACCTTGGAATTGCCAAACTGTGAACTATATAAAAAGGCAAAGACCTCGGGACCTAAATACACAATTTTCATTTAATTTATGTAATAAAATCATTAGTTTCATGTATTTGTTATTTATTTATTTATTATATGTGAGGACTATCAGAGAAGGCCAGGGCCAACACTCTAAGCAGGGACTCCAAGACTTCCCACACCCCAGACACTTCCTCCAGCTCCTCCAGGGGGACCCCAAGGTGTTTCCAGGCCAAAGCAGAGACATAGTCCTTCCAGCGTGTCCTGGGTCTTCCCCGGGGCCTCCTTCCGGTGGGACATGGGACACGGAGGCATTCAGGAGGCATCCGGAACTGATACCCGTGCCTCAGCTGTCTCCTCATGACGTGGAGGAGCAGCGCCTCTACTCCGAGCTCCTCCTGTGTGACCGAGGTCCTCATCCTATCTCTACGGGAGCACCCAGCCACTCTCCGGAGGAAACTCATTTCAACCACTTGTATCCGTGCTCTCGCCCTTTCTTTCATCTTTCCTTTATTTTTTTTAAATAATAGCACTCAGGTGTTTATAATAACCTAAAAATTAATACACGTGTTTTCCAAAATGTAAAGATATGTTGCCTACATGTTGTTTTTGAGTCAGGCATGAGTGTGGACAGCTCCGTGTTTACAGGGGCCAGGGCCCATTCCTTCGACATGCTGAGGAAGCTGAGGTCTATTTGCATGGCTGTTTTACTAGTTACACTAAAAGTTAGTGAAGTCAGTTTGATCTAAAATACTGGAGATTGCATCAGGAGCCCCAGAGGAAGATAGTTTTGGGGAAAGAGGGACGAGAAACAGAGAAGACCAGAAACATGTCACCACTTTACACCACTGGACATGCCAGTGTTTCGGTTCTCTGTGTGATCATGTCAAGCTCTGATTTGTGTTCAGTGGTGATGAGATTTTGCGCCACCCTCAGGCTGCATCAAGATGTTTCATCATGAAGTTTCTGATGTGCTGTTTTGATTTGCTAATTCAACAAGAAGTTTTCTGACTCCAATCAAACTTGTGTCTGACATGATTACAATAAATATTCTGGCTTCAGAGTTATGTCAGTTCTATTGCACTTTTGCCGATAAGTTGATTGGTGTTGTTTATTGACTCTGATAAGAATGTTATCTAAAAAATATAAGGACTGACCCAAGTTCTCCAACACCATAAAAAAGACATATACCTGCCTTGAACTTATAATCTATGACACCAGTGGATTTTATATGAAATAAATCTGTCAAATACTTCATGTCCAGTGCATGTACGTTTGTCTCTTTCATAAAAAAACATAGTGTATTTCATCAGGTCTGAACAACACATTTGCAGTATTGAATGTTTATTATACATTTATTTACAAGGAACATGTACATGGTGTTGGATTCCATGCACTTTTAGACCAGGCTCAACCAGGGATGGTGGCTCAACTGGTCCAAAGGTATTCTGTTATTTGGATCCAGAGTCAGACAGGCCTGGAGGAAGTCACTGCACTCTGCAAAAACAAACACACAAGACAAGTTTTAGAGTGTACACTTCATAGTTGCTCTTCCCACTGTGAGCGAAGTTCTTCAGTAAAAAAAATATATATTAAAGATGTGAGAAAGACTGCTGTTATTTGTGCCTTTAAGAATCACATTTCTTGTCATTTGTGCATTGTTTAAGGGTGAACTGTGTAATCTATCTTTTCAAATGGAGGTCCGACACCTTTAATGTTTTATCTAATGACATGAACACTAAATCATATTGAAATAATGTGTGTGTTTCTCTGCTCGTACCTTGGGACACACCGCTCCGACTCAAGATGGAAATGTATGGAAAACCCTTCGTGAACTCATTTGTGGCAAACGGTTTGGCACTTTTAGAGCGCAGAAGTTCATAAAGTAGCGCCCCCGTCTGCCACACTGAGGTAGGACCAGCGCAGTATCCTTCAGTCCCGAAGGCCTCAGGAGGTGCACATGCCGGTGTTCCTGAAAAACAAAGAGAAACACATAGAAATAAGTAGGGACATTGATAGACTGCATCGTGCATCTTTAGTGATATAGTATTTTAACTACTGCTGCTACTATTGCTACTTCGTTGGTTAGGAATATTACCTTTGAACCTGTAGAAGTGCCCTGATTGGTCGCCAGAGCCACAGCCAAAGTCTATGACCCTGATCCTGGGGCCAGACTCTGTGGCTTGGACCAGGAGATTTTCCATTTTGATGTCTCTATGGAAAACTCCTTTTGAGTGAAGGTCCACCAGCGCGTTTACAACCTGACGTATCAGCTCCTGCCGGACAAAAACAAGAACGTGGATTAGAAAAGTAACTGAAAGTTTTTTGCTATTTTTCTGTTTTGTTGTTGTTTAGTTTAGTTTAGGTTTTTTTTGCATACCTTAGCGTGGGCTTCTGTCAGGGGTGCATTCTTCCGATGGTAACGGAGCAGGTCTTGAGATGGGGTGGGTCTCTCCATCACCAGAATAACTTCGTGGCCTTCATCCTGGAGGTACCAGTCCAGCAGAGTCACTGAGGGGTTCCCTCCGACCGAGTGCTGATCCGGAGCAGCTCTGGTCATCAGGACCACCTCAGAGGGGACAGTGAACACCTCATTTTTAATGATCTAAAAGTGAAACATGGAAACAAAACAGATTATTACACAATCAGAGGCAAATGCAGTGTCAAATATTGATGGGGTGGTACTTGTGATTTTAGTTTAATCTGATACAGTAAAACTATGGCAAGTATCACAATATTGATCTGATTCCTATGAGTTATGATCCTAATGAGTTTTACATCCTATGACTTTTAAATGCACTAACTGAAATATAAAATATACTGAAATATGTCTTTCAAAGTTTTACCAAACATAAATAAAAACTGTGATTTGTGATACCTCTGTCAGTATTCATATTTGGTATCAGTCCATTCACCACTAATATAAAAGAGTGGTGAGTGGTGATGGTACCACACAGACTTTTTAGTGGACACTGATGTCCATTATTTGTCTGGTTATTTGATGAAACCGATATAACAATTTCAAAATCCATAAAATGTTGCAAAACTATACAAATGATGAAATATAACAACAAAAATGTCACTTACCACTAGAGTAAATGCCACGTGCTCTGCCATAATGTGTTTAATGGCCACCTGAAAATCAGACATTAGAACATCATTATATAATGGAGTAAAGTGAAAATGTGAAATTATTCATAGATATTATAGATTATATTCTGAATTTAACGTTCTCCAGAAAGAAACAACATCTCTATGGAGACTGACCCTCTACATGAAAAATCACTTACTGCACTTTAAGTCATTTTAACTTATATTAACTGTGCATTTGAAGTTTTGTAAATGATGAAAAGTGTAAATCTCTTACCGGTTGTTGGTCTGAGATTCGGACGCCAGCAAAGACAGACCCAAATCCGCCCTCTCCGAGCTGCTCATGCTCCTCGTATCTCAGCTCTAAATCACCCACTGAGTTCATTTTACAGAAAAAAAACAACATTATTATTATGATCATTCCACATGACCCATTCACACATACACAAGAGAATAAAGTGTCTTGCCCAAGAACACATTAACAGTATTAGGTTTAGTTGTAGTTATGATATATATGTTTCAGTCCTGGTTTATATATAGTTTATGTTTTGGTCCTGGTTTAGTCCTGGTCTAGTCCCGGTTTAGTGTTTACATGTAAATATACAATAGTTCTCTGTGTATTTAGCCTGTAACGTACCTCTAGGTGTAGCCACTCTCCTCAACGCTGTTCTCAGCCTCCTCTTCTCTTCGCGCCTCTTCTTTGAGGCACTCTCAGGCTCGGAGTCTGGTTTTGTGGATTCCTTATCGGTCGATTTCCTTTTTTTGGTTGTTCTGCTCACGCTTGGTTCACGGTCCAAGCTGTGAGCGATCACAGGAGTGCAGTCTGAAAATACAATTATTACTTTAGTTACAATGACAAAATGCAACAAGTGGATTTTACTTGATACAAATACAACTACTGCCTGTTGTTGATATATTTTCAGCAGTACCTTCAGTGTGGTCTGCACTCCTCTGAGGACTCTGCAGAGTCTCACCTCCAGAACCAACGGGCGACGTTTGTAAACGCAGGTTTTTTGGACTCGGGTTCAGCCCAAACCGCTGCGTCGCTGGATTTCCTTTTGAGGTTATGGAAACCACTTGGTTTGGTCTGAGAGGTGTTGGAGACCACACGACTGGACCCTAAAAATGAATGAAGATAAAAATATGTTATGTTATACAAGGATCCTATGAAGTACAAAACAAGTATCAACATAATTAGTGCTGAAGTCCTGGTTTAGCTTTTTTAGTCCTGGTTTAGTCCTGGTTTAGTCTTGGTTTAGTCTTGGTTTAGTCCTGGTTTATGGTTTAGTCTTGGTTTAGTCCTGGTTTAGTCTTGGTTTAGTCCTGGTTTAGTCCTGGTTTAGACCTGGTTTAGTCTTGGTTTAGTCCTGGTTTAGTCCTGGTTTAGTCCTGGTTTAGTCTTGGTTTAGTCTTGGTTTAGTCCTGGTTTAGTCCTGGTTTAGTCCTGGTTTAGTCTTGGTTTAGTCCTTGGTTTAGTTTAGTCCTGGTTTAGTCCTTGGTTTAGTCCTGGTTTAGTCTAGTCTTGGTTTAGTCCTTGGTTTAGTCCTGGTTTAGTCTTGGTTTAGTCCTGGTTTAGTCCTGGTTTAGTTGAGTCTCGTACCTTCTGATTTGAGCTCTGTTCTCTGAGGTCTCTTCAGTGTCTCTCCTCCCAGTGTCGATCTTTGAGAGCAGGACTTTTTGGGTTCAAAGTCAGTGTTGACTGTGTCGCTGGATTTCCGTTTCCTGTTGTGGAAAAGGCTCAATCCCGGAGTCAAGACGTGCCTGGACCCTGTGAACACATCATGTCATCGTTATTACTTGGTTACTACATGTTTATGTGCAAGTATCAAAATATACACTCATGTAAGCACAGTTAAAACCGGAAATGGGTAGTTTAATCTACATTTACTTGAGTAACTTCTTGACAAAACTCTACATCTCAGAGTAGTTTTCTGACTTTTTACTGTTACATGTGTACTTTCTGGATCAGAACTTTCTACTTGTACTTTAGTAGCAACATTTAAAGAGACAATACTCTTGTAATCTGAAAGAAAGTACAACTTGGCTCTTGAATCCTACAGGTTGGGATTGTTTCACATTCTTTAAAACTTCTTTCACAAACCTTGTAAGTTCACTTGGTTGACGTCGAAAACGTACTGTGTCCATGAAGCCATCATTGTTTGGAAATGACAAAAGGCAATGAACTAGATAAACGTGGCTGACGTGATGAGATACGTGCGTCTCCTGTGCTGTCTGAGAAGTTTTGACCTGTTGGAGAAGAGCTCTTATATATAGTGGCGCGATTATGTAAATTGGAATGTTGCCGTTAACGTGGCAACGGAGAATTTTGATGATTATGTAACCTGTATTTTGTTTTTATTTAAATTACTGTTTTTTTGTTGTTGTTTTTTTTTGTATTATACGCTCAGGTGTTTCCTTCCAGTGCATTATCAGCAGCACTAATTCATTACTAGAGCCCAAGCAACAATCTCAACAATAAAAACACTGTAAATGAAAACCTGTTGCTTGTTACAGTGAAATACTATAATGAAGAGGCAACACCAGCAGCAGAGGATGAGTTCTGCACTGTTTAACATGAAGTCTTATTTCAAGTATGAAGTCGTTTCAGAGCGGTACTGTATTTTACACTGAACAAGGTGTAAAACAAACTCCTCATATGTGTACATTTTTAATAACAATATGTGTACATTTTTTAAATATTTTAAGTGGGGACGGGAGAAGATCTCGTGCCATAAGATCACGCGAGACAAAACTGCCACGAGATTGTGAACACACGCTGAAAATTATGTTTTTGCTTTGGGATTGGACACAAAAATGGAGTTAAGTACTGGTGAATCACATTTTTTGAGAAGCTGTAGTCCAGAAAGCTACAATGACAGCAGAAATTTAAAGTAAAGTACATCAAATATGGTGAGGCCAAAACTGGGAACTGGATTGCGCAGATTATTTTTTATGAATGTCAAAATCTCTTTTCATCTCGTTCTCATAGATCCAATCTTGTGTCTCGTCCCACCCCTATTTTTAATTATAAACATTTGTCTCACAATAACTAACAATTTAACATAGAGAATTTGAATATCTCTCAAAATGGAAACTGTAGGGAAGGGAAGAGTTGATAAGAATCAGTATCTCAATACTTTGGATCATATTATCTCGATCATGGTAACAGTGTATCAGGAATGTGCTCAAATGTGCCTGTAACGTCTTGTTTAACAATCAAGTGTCGCACAAAACATGAAAGAAGCTCAACATTAACTGCAAAGGTGCAAAATATTTCTTTATTTATTCTTCGTATATATTTTTTCTTGTTATTGTACCGTAAATTCCGGACTATAAGCCACTACTTTTTTCTCACACTTTGAACCTATATACGATCTATGGTTTGGCGACATAGCGGATACACACAGCCTGACTGCAGAAAACGCCACTGTCTGTGCGGTTACATCAAGCCCTGGGGTTTCAAAATGGCCGCCCATTCAAGTCAATGGGCCTAGCTCAATGGCACATGATCCCAGATTAGCCTTTAGCCCGGCTAGGTACTTCTGGTGGCTGTGGGTCGACCGAGCATGTGCAGTAGTGCTCTTTTCTCCCGCGAGCGCACGCAAATGCGCGCACGGAGCGTGGGCTCGTTTATCACGTGATCACTTTGACCAATCAGAGCGAGAGGAGCTAGAATGGAGCAGACTATAGCTGGAGCTAATGATTATAAAGCATTTTTTAATGAAAACTGAAGGATTTTGAGCTGAGAAAAAGTTTATTATCTAAAAATAGGTAAAAATCACCAACAAATCTGACATTTTTGAAAGTTGTAGGTGCCCTGTCAACTGAACATGAACAGTGAGAAAAGTCTTGACTCGGCCCATGTGGTTTTTTTAGCTGTAGTTTCAGTGAGTGACCACTACATCAACTGGAGGCAGCTACAAGCAGCAATACCCTATCCAGTTATTTTAACAGATCCATGGGTCATGCATGGATCTAGGGGTCACATGAAGGTGTCACACTAACTAGCGATATTGTTAGCGCACTCAAATAGTTCATCGCCGTGTGATAAAATAAGTTATGATGCTAAATGAACATTAGTGAGGGGGATACGTCTTACCCGTATGCGTAAATGACAACAAGAAACGTTTCAAACTTCAGAAGCTGAACCTCCACTCATACCTGATCCATACAACTATCCTAGTCCACCAGGAGAGTCTGAAATCTGTTGAAATCCTCCAAGACACTGACATGATACAGACAGGACAGAGAGTCTTGCAGTAGACATGCTCTAGGGACCAGACGCAAAACAGTGCGACGTGGGACACATTTTGAAAACTCGTTGCGGGCTCGGGCAGGAGCGGGATTACACAACATGAGAGCGGGTGGGTGAGATGATAAACTGCAGTCCCGCAAACTACATATGAGAGTAAAATAAAATATACAACTAATGAATGTAAACATATCATGCATCATTTGTGCTGGAGATTTTATTTGGCATTAATAAAAACATTTTGAGTGGCGGCCTGTCACCCTCCCCTACACCATGTGGACCATCCCCTCTCCTGTACGCTGCGCAGACCAAACTGTTGTTGTGTCCTTAGGCAAGACACTTCACCCACATTGCCTAGTATGAAAGTGGTGTGTGTGTGAGTGTTGGTCGGAGGGGCCGATGGCGCTGACTGGCAGCCTTCCGTCAGTCTGCCCCAGGGCAGTTGTGGCAACAATAGTAACCTACCATCACTGAGTTGGAATGAATGAATAATGATCTGTAAAGCGCTTTGGGTATCATGAAAGGCGCTATATAAATGCAATGATTAATTAAAATAAAAAAAAAAATAAACCAGGTCTAAAACCACCAGTATTTACCAGTATTTTGTAAATATGTGTGGTGACATGTACTTTACATCTGATTGTGTTTTGAAACTTGTGGTCGCCCTTGGGCTTTAAGGTAGCTAACTTGAAAACTACCACTTCATGACATCACAAGGTAAAACAGCATTTTGAGCTTTGGAAGTGTAGACAGATGAAGGGATACTCAAACGGGTGAATGAAAACAAAATACAACTCTTGGTAGTTTTTGAAAAAGTAACAGTATTATAACTAACTATTATAACTAATTATAATAAGTATTATGTGTACTATCAGTGTGTACTACCAGTGCATACTATCAGTGTGTACTACCATTGTATACTACCAGTGTGTACTACCAGGGATGGGATCTGCATATCTTGAGTAGTACTGGTTAGAACTACGCTACTTCGCTGGAGGATTTGACTTATGTTCTTGGGTTCCTGAAGAGAAAGTGTGACCCATATCCCATTTTGTTGATTTGGTGTTTTGTTTTTTGTTTTGTTTTTTGTATGTGTTTACCTTAAAATGGTAAAAGATGATCTGTTCTTTCAA